GTTCCAAAAGCCTTTGCTGTAAATCATACTTGTGCAGTGAGGGGCATTCTCTGCTCCATTTTCATGTATGTGCTTCAAACACGAAAGCTGCATGCAGATCACTGGAGCCAGGCTGAGTCACTTGCTGACTTGTGCATCCAGCCAGCATGTCCTCTCCTACCTAACAACAAAACACATGCAGACAACAGCCCTGCCAGGCACAGCTCTCAGCTAAAATAAGCTCTGCTGAGAGATTAAAGGGTAGCTTTCTGCTCTGAATGTATGCTCTGATAATGGGAAATCATGTTCCTATTGACTGTGGGATCCAAATGCCATTTTATTGTGGCATTTATTACTGCATTGCTGTGATTTTAGAACACTTATTTAAGAGTTATGCAGAAAATACTGTAGTACTGTATATGCTGTCAGCTTAATTATCAAGAAAACCTTTATTTTACTTGAAACTCTTTATCTTCAGAATATAAAAGCAAATCTGCATGGAAATGTATATTGCCAAATAGCTATTACAGTGCTGCTGCCTATTACAACTCTGTAGCTAGAATAACGCAGTGACCTACTTCAGCTAAGAAAACAGCACATTCATCAGTTATGAGCATTCTGATAAAACCAAAATAGAACCAACACAGAAACCCAAACTAGCTAAACTTCTATTGTTAATGTGTGGCTGCAATGTAAACACACAGCTATACCACAGTGTGCCTGGGCAAGCTTTCCTATTTCTTGCTATTGAAGAGCCCATGAATTGGGGCAGAAATTCACTTCTGAACCCTTGCTAGTAGAAGCATGAAGCAGAGAAGGCAGATCTATGGGCCGGTAGGTGCCAGGCAGCTCGGGAAACTCCAGAGAGTGCTAAGCCAGTTTTATAGGCAAAACAGATTTACAGGTAAAGTGTTAAGTGCTAAAATCCTCACAAACTGATGCCTGCAAGGACCACTAAAAGCTTGTCTGGATGACTTTTGGGTCACAGCTACTTCTCAGTCTCTGGCTTTTTCTGCTTACCAGTACGTGCCCTGCAAAAGAGTCAGTCTTCAAACCCTCGCACTGGAACACAGATGATGTGCCACTATTGCTCTATAGGGACTGAGTGCACTGGGAATCAACTTGATTGAAAGAATACCTATGTCTCATGTATTTGATCTGCCCTGTTAAAATATGTTGGCACCAAAGTTTCATCTGGATTGTCTGAGCCCTCTTTGAGCTGTTTCAGGGCTAGCAGAGAAGCTGGCAGAGTAGAGGTGGTGAACTGCAGGGAGATCAGCTGAAGCTGGCGAGCACAGTGTTATGCAGCTGACATGTTCAGGAAGCTTTTAAACATAAATGAACTTCAGAAGCATCTATGTAGAACATCGGCCGTACAATGACACTGGGTGCTGCTGCTGGACCCAGGTTGGTATCCACTTCACCGTGCAGCATTCTGTAAATAACTGAGGTGGAGTTCCTGCTGACCGGCAATACAGAGATCTCAGCAGGGAGACTCTTCCCAGAGGTGATGTGCCTTCAAAAAACCAAGAACAAGTACTTGTACCTGTTCTCCAGACCTTCCCACTTCAGACTCTGGAGCCTCTTCTACATTAAAGATCTTCTACCATCCTTTTCAGAGACACTACCCTGAGATTTCCTCTGCAAAATGTTGCAGGAATTATCCTGGATTTCCATATGCTAAATGAAAGTCCCCCAGCTGGCTCTTTCTAAACCATATAAAACTTGATTCAAGTTAAAGCCAACTCTCAAAGTTTGAGGTCTCTCTTCCAGCAATTCTCTATCTTCTCTTTGTCCCGAATCTGTGTGTGCAAGCAGGAATGGCATGAGCCAGAAATGACGCGTTAGCACAGCCACTTACTAGGACCACTTCTTTAAATCAGTTCTCTGGATGGTTTAAGGAGTGGATCTGACGCTTTCCCTGCAGTAAGTGGAGCAGCTCATGCTGTCCTGATACATGAGGGTAACAGGATATGGGAAATGATCTTGGGCTTTCACAGGGTCAGGGAACACTATGACCGCTTCAGATCAAGCCAAGGGACAAAATGCATCAGAGGATGGAGTGGGAATCTGGGAGAGTGTTCTTCTCTATTCTTCAGCTCTAAGACTGCTCTGAAATCGCTCGGACCTCCATCTCTCTCCTGTGATTTGCCTACCCGGTGAGTGTGCCAGGAAAACTAGACTGCCAAATCATTCACAGCTCTAGGAAAAGTGTATCACGGTCAGTGACTTTTCCTGGCCTAGCAGGAAGCAGCGCTATCCTGTCATCAGGGGAGGGAGATGGAGCAGGAGTCCTGAGCAGGGAGACTCAAGTGGAAGGAAACGCAGAGGCTGGGAAAAGGGTGGAGAAAGGGAAGGAGGAAGAAAACTTGCAGGAGGGAAGGAAAACAACAACACACCCAAACGCTCAGCGGCGCTAAGACAGCATCCACACAGAGCCATGAGCTCGCCCTGGCCGTACCCACTGCGTGCCCCGCCTGCTCCCATCGGCTCCGCGCATCCCGGCCCGCACCAGCCGCCCGCTTTGTTGTCCCCAGCGGCTGCAGCTCTGCCCCGCCGCGTGTCCGTCGTCCCCCCTCCCTTATCCCGCACCTTCTGGTGCTTCCGCTCCTTCTCGATGCGGTCCATCCTCTCCAGGCGCAGGCGGTCGAGCTCCAGGCGCAGCTCCTCCATCTCGGGGTTGATGTGGTTGCGGCTCACCAGCACCTCCAGGATCTCCAGCACCCGCACCACCTTGGGCATGAGGCGGGCGATGGCCTCGCAGCCGTGTTGATCGATCACCCGCTCAAACTCCTGCCCCACGGCCGAGGCGATGTCGTACACGTCCATGACCGTCAGCTCCGCCGCGTTCTTCTCCAGGGCGGGCGGCACCCCGCCGCCGCCGTCCATGGCTCGCCCGGCCCCGCGGCACCCTCATAGGCAGCAGCGGGGCGTCCTCTTCGCGGGGCACCCCCCGGCAGCCGAACCCCGCACCCGGGCCGCGGCCCCGCGCAACTCCCGCAAACTCGGGCTGTCCCGGCGGTGCCGGGGGGGGGTGTTTAAACTTGGCCGGGCGGCGACGGGAAGGAGGGACCGAGGGAGGGCGGGCGCGCCCGCACCGCCACCACCGCCCCGCCGCTCGGGGCCAATGGCAGGCACCGGGCGGGCCGGGCCGGGGGAGGCCCCGCGCATGCCCGCGGCCACCGCCGTGCCTCGCCGGGCTGCGGGATGTGCGGCCCCGCCGGTGACCGCGATGGGTCTCGACGGGAGGAGCCGGGGTGAAAGCCGCTGCTCTGTGGATGCTCCTGGCTGATGCCTGCGCTGAGCTCCGTCAGCGTTGGGATGAGCCGTGGTAGCGGCCTCTTGTACCGCTCCATCGTGCGGGATGGCAGCCACGCGTTTGAGCGGGACGGAAGTCATCGAGGATTCGGGATCGATGGTACCCATCCCTGGAGCGGGCGCACAGGGATGTACCGCAGTTCCGTGGTGCCACGGTACCCATCCCTGGAGCGGGCGCACAGGGATGTACCGCAGTTCCGTGGTGCCACGGTACCCATCCCTGGAGCGGGCGCACAGGGATGTACCGCAGTTCCGTGGTGCCACGGTACCCATCCCTGGAGCGGGCGCACAGGGATGTACCGCAGTTCCGTGGTGCCACGGTACCCATCCCTGGAGCGGGCGCACAGGGATGTACCGCAGTTCCGTGGTGCCACGGTACCCATCCCTGGAGCGGGCGCACAGGGATGTACCGCAGTTCCGTGGTGCCACGGTACCCATCCCTGGAGCGGGCGCACAGGGATGTACCGCAGTTCCGTGGTGCCACGGTACCCATCCCTGGAGCGGGCGCACAGGGATGTACCGCAGTTCCGTGGTGCCATGGTACCCAAGGGCAGAGGCAGCACCGGAGCTCGAAGCTGCCAGGACAGGAGCAGGGTAGATGGCCCTCAACGCCAAGCGAGGAGGAAGGCAAACAGATGGCTGCAGGCTAACGTCGTGCGGGGGGAAGAAGTCATTCTGCAGGACAAGCATGGGTCTCACACACAGCAGCTCGCTCATTGTTAGGGGTTTTTAGGCACTCACTCTGCAAGAACAGAGTAATATAGTCCTTACGCCTGTTTAGTGTCAGCAGAGATACATACAAGTGGTTTGCTGCACAGATCCACTTACAGAGGAATTTAAACTAAACCCAAATGTGTCTTTTCTGTTTTTTTTTTCAGTATTTTTCCTTCAGGTGTGACTGCATTCTTAAATGTTCTCATGGTGCTTAGTATGAGGTTATCCAGATGGGCCATTATGGATACATTAAATGTGCCCCTAAACAATTGTAGGCTCTAATCCTGCCACTTGCTGCATTCAGTGTAGAAATAATGCATTATCGTTTGGACAAGATACTAGATAACAACTAGTCAGAAGAAATAAAACTGGAGTTGCAAAAGCCAAGCTTTGACTGATACATGCTGCATGTTGTGGCTGCAGCATTCATCCTCTATTTGTCACACAAGGAAGGGAAAAACACCAATACAAGTGAATGGGAGGGATGACTGACAGGAAATGCAACACTGTGACACTCAAAGGAACTTTTTCAGGCAATACTGTTAACATCCCCTTAGGTCACAGGTTACAAAACTTCAGCCTTCCTCCCATGCTGCCAAGTGCTCACATTCCTGGAGCTGGGCAGCCAGGGTGTCAAACCAGCCTCCAAGCATCAGAGTTTGATGTTCAGTTGCCTAACTTATAATAATAATCATCAATGACAGCCTGTGCAAATGTATCTAACATCCTTCGTGAAGTTTATTGCCAAAATTGATCGCTACAGGGTATTGCACAAAGTTCCAGAGAGAGCAATAGGATGAATAGCAGCCCATCCATCCCTGTAACAGTCATCCTTCCCTGGCAAACAACACTTATGGGAGCTTGGGAAGGGGCAGCAGCATGAGCAGAACATCTGGAGAACACTCTGCAGTACCTCAGGGGACAGATATGCTGTGAAATCATTCTTTTGTCCAAGTTAGAGATGAGAGAAAGAGTTCACGTCACCAGGATTCAGTATAAATGAGTTCTCATTGTTATGTGTAAATGTACATAGAGGGAAAAAGTAATGATTCGGAGAATGTGCTGGTGGGAAGAGTTAAATCCCTACTGAGACAGATGGAAAACCAGCACAGCAGTTCATGCTGCAGGAAGCAGCAGGTTCAAGCTTGGTTCAATCCAAACTCACTGGAAACCATGGAAGTTTTCAGCGCCTTGACAGGAGAGGGCTCTTGCCACTCACATACATGACCTGTAGCTCCTCAAGTTCACCTTCCTCTCGCCAGCATCTTTCCTTTCCACGCCCGGAGCCTGCACTGGCACATCCAGCTCTGCCGCTTGGACCTGGCAGCTTGAGATGAGCAAACTCACTTATGTTAATCAAGTAATTGGATCCCATTTGTCACACAAACACAACGTCTGGGCATTATACCCAGGACTACAACAACTGGCGCTCACTTGGCAAGCCCAAGCGCATAAATATTGCACCGGAAAGCCAGATTGTGCTTTAGTCTTTAGATCTTTAAAGATAATTAAACCAGCTAGTCATGAAAACAGTCTCTCTTCAGCTCCAGCACGGCCTTCTGTATTGCCGACTGCAAGTGCTAACTGACAAGTAGCATTTAAGCATGACAACGCAGAGAGAGGCTTTTCACGCCGTGATGCAGGAGCCGGACTGTGTTTGCTACGCGCCCACAAGCTGGGCTTCCCCGTTACCTCCTTGATCGTCAGCTCTTTACCCAATCCCTACCCTGATGGAGCAGGTTTGGGTTTCCCGGCCTGCAGCAGCAGCAGTCTCGGCCGCACAGGACAGCGGCGACAGCGGCGACAGCGGCGACAGCGGCCTGAACCGCGTTAAGAGGCTCCCGCGCTCCCGCCGCCACCCCCGCGCTTGATAGACATCGTCCAGCCAATGGCGCGCTTTCTGACAGACCAGCTCTCCCCACCCCCTTCTGATTGGCTTCAGCCCCCACGGCCCCGCCCCCACTTCATGCTCATTGGTTGCTCTCCTACTTGTGCTCCGCCCCCCGCGCGGCGCGGTTAGTCCCTCTGCGGTTGGTCCTTCAGCGGCCGCCGTAGCGCAGCCCGTACGTGGCAGCGGGGCTGTGCCCGCCTATGAGCGGCGGCCCCGTGCCCCGGAAGGGGCGTGTCGGGAGCCGGAAGCTCCCCCTCCCCGTCGCTGCCGTCGCGCCGCTCGGTGCCCGCTGCCGCTGGGCTCCGCCATGTCGCCGGTGCGGGCGGTGCTGGCGCTGCTGGCCGCCATCGCGGCCCCGGCTGCCGCCTACTTCGTCAGCATCGACGCGCACGCCGAGGAGTGCTTCTTGGAGCGGGTGCCGTCCGGCACGAAGATGGGGCTCATCTTCGAGGTGGCCGAGGGGGGCTTCCTGGACATCGACGTGGAGGTGAGGGCCCAGCGCCGCGGCTGGGCCGCGCCTGTTCCCCGCCGCCTGCGAGGTGGGGAGGCCGGGGCAGCGCCCGGTGTGGGGTGGACAGCGGTGGTCAAACCGGCCGGGTGGTTCCGTGCGGTCCCGGCTCGTTGCGGGGGGGCTCCGTGCGTGCTGACCGGGCCCCCCGCGGTGGACCGGGCGGTCTCGGAGCGGAAGAGGAGCCGCCTCGACGGGCTGCGTTTCCTAAGGCCGCTTGTGCCGTTCCTGCCCCCAGGGCTGTTCTCGGGAGGTTTCCTGCGTTGCCCGGCTCGGTATAGACTTGTCATGTTAACCGCTTTGGCGGGAAGAACGAACAGGATTCCTGTGTATAAAACCGCGTTGCTTGTTCTGGGAGCAGCGTGTCTCCCCTTGAATCGAAAGGCGTTGTCTTTAATCGGGGTGATTGCCATCTTGAGAGCTGTAGGTAAGTCCTTTTCCTTAGTGAGGCATCAGATCAAGAGAATAGTAAACAAGGATTCCTTTCGTCTTGGTGAGGAGCAGAGAGATGTTTGTTTGGGATAATTTAAACCTGAGAGAGTTGTTGCTGGCAGTGAGTATAACGGCTTCAAATGACACATGGCTCTTCCACGGGGCAGGCAGGAAGAGGAAGCTGAAATCCCATTCAAATGGCTCCGGTGGAAGCTCGGCAGCAGAGTTTGGCCTGATGAAATGGAAGGCTCAAAATAGCAGTGATGCTGAGCACTCATACTCAATGCAATAGCCCGCTTGGAATGGTCGCTGCAACAGTGCACAACTGTGTGCCTAAAGTAGCACTGATGTGTGGGAGAACATCTTTTCCTGCAGACATCAGCAGTGAGGATTCTTCTGTAGTTGTTCCTTTAGCAAACAGCCAGGGCTGTATGTAACTTGTGGTTTACTTGTTCTTGACTGCTTCTTATCTCGCCTGTGTAATCTTGGACAGTGAGAGAGGCTTTTGTGTGACTTTCTTTACCAAGAAGTTTATTACAGAGAGTTACGTGCAGGAAAATGCATCACTGCCTTTGAGTTGTGGGAGGGAAGATATGAAGAGTGCCAAACCAGATTACACATGGTGTTGGTCATTCTGACTGGGTGACTTCAGCACATGCATGCAGTGTTGTAAGGGTATATTTGAACCCACTGTATTTCAAATCAAACATATGACACTTTGTTTTCCCCAGATTACAGGGCCTGATAATAAAGGAATTTATAAAGGTGATCGAGAGTCCAGTGGAAAATACACGTTTGCTGCCCACATGGATGGAACTTACAAGTTTTGCTTTAGCAACAGAATGTCCACCATGACTCCCAAGATAGTGATGTTCACTATTGATATTGGAGAAGCTCCAAAGGGGCAGGACATGGAGACAGAAGGTGAGGAAGACTTCTGGAAAGGAATTAGCTCTGGCTTGGGAGCTATTCCCTACATGCATGGCTTCTGAACTTGAGTAGGAATCTCAGAATTGCTGTTTCTTCAGGCTCTCTAGTTAGCCGTTCTCTTGCACAGCTAAAATCTGGGTGGTTTTAGACCTCATTATATGGTTTAATGCAAAAAATCACCAGAGAATCACTTGGCCATCTGCAGAAACGAATGCCTTCCTCCTTTAGTCTTTTCATTAGTTTCATTCTCCTGTTTCTAGTTTGCTCAGCAGTACCTAGGCTCCTACATGCCTTAGTTGAGCTCTTTGATAAATGTGCCAATATAATTTTTTTCTCTTAGCTGTATAAATGAGTGTTTTATCTGCAGCCTTTTGTCCTGCACTTGTGTTTATCTCTTACACTTTCCTCTAGGTGGTGGAGATACCTGGGATGGTATGTGTACTGCTTTTTGAAAGCTCATTAGCATCTTGTCTTTGGCATATGTTTATTCACTAACAGCTAACGTTTGCTTTTCTCTGTAACATTGGTTTGTAGCATGAGAATGTCTTTAATAATCTACATAGAAGGTCTGATTCTGAGCAATGCTGAGCACCTGCAAGCTTCCATCGAGAGGTTTATATACTTAGCAACACTTGGGATCAGGTCCTTGAACTGTCTCTGACAGTTTGTCTTAAGGAGGTGGGAGTTTGGGGTGAAATTAAACGCTGAACATCCGAGAACATTGGATATTTTAGACTCTATTTGCTTTATATTGCAAAAGTGGATGTTGGGTAATCAAGGACTTCTGGGAGCAATAAGCTTCTTTTAGGTTATGAATTATCAGTAACGTTACAAGGGGAAACACTTGAAACTTGCCATTAGCTGTAAAAGAAATAAATGAATGTGGGTAACAAGTTATAAGGGTTTATTTAGCAATCACTAGCTAGGTAGGCAGTAAAGTCTTGTTTTCTATTTTGGCAAGTAAATAACTGTGCATTGAGTGCTTGATATCACTTAAAAAGTAACAAATCCCTAACTTTTGATTTATTCTTTTAAAGACTCAGTTATAGCTGTTATTGAGTCTGGATTGAGCTGCTGCAAAGAACATGAATGCAGCTTTTGTTTTTAAGGCACTTCTGGAGTGTATTTTTTGGAGTGGGTTTAAGCAGTCCTTGTGAGTGTAAATTCTTCTCTTACTAATAAACTGCACTTACTGCAATGACCGTGAAAATAAGGGATTGATGATATTAGCAAAGTGAATGCGGTTTATACAACTGTTAAGGGTTTAACTGTAACTTGTACGAGTGTTATTTTCTGCTCCTCTTTGACTGTTCCCCATGAGGTATGTATTTTGAAGAGCCTTATTTTCAGATTGTGATCTGAAACCATTTATAAATAAAGATGTAATAAGGCAGCTTCAAAGTCAGGTATGTCCCTTCAGTGGGAAATGTGTTGGGGTTTGTGACTTCATTTTAAGAGCTGATGGCCCAGGGCATGTTTGTGGGATGACATCTTGAACTTGGTGCTAGAAAACTTTGAAAGTGACTTGAATAACGTAAAAGGGGACAGTTCTGTGAGCATGAATGTACTTAAAAGATCCTGTGATTGACAGGCAAATCGCTAAATCTTAGCTCTCTGATCCTTCCATTTGCTCAGCTGTCTCAAGCTAGTTTTCTGTTATCGGTTTGATGTTTTCCTCCTCTTCTGCTTTCACAACACACCAGGACCTGAAGCCAGTCCTGCCCTCTGCCAGGCCCCTTTGGCATCGTTTCTGCTGAATGCTGTGCTTCAGCTAGACTGGAAGATCACAAGATGTGATATGTTGCTTCAGAAAGTGATCTCGTTTTGCCAGCATCATGATCTTAAGCTAAACTCTGTCATTCCATTTTTTTTTTTTTTGCAAGCTTAACAACTAGGAAAAGCTGTGATGTTCAGATAATTTGCTTGGAATATGTTGGACAATATTGTCAAAATAGATACTAGTGTGTGGTATTGATTTTATGTGTTCTTATGTTCCATTTTTTTTGGAAGAGTATGCCCATATTGGAAATCAGTGGTCTGTACTGATTCTAAATCCTGTCTTGTGTTTTCTGGTCAGATGTGGAGGAAGATGCTTCCCCACTTACTAAATACCACAGGAACATGTTAGGAGAAGTGATGCTGTGAAAACTCAACTGTTCCTTTGCTATAAGGGTAGAAAGTTTCAGCTGTACAGACTGCATTTTTCTGCCACGGGAAATGAAGTATTACCTGTTCATAAATCCTAACAACTGTTTTTCTGTGTCAATAACACCTTTTCTGATGCTTCTGAAATTCTTCTGCAGCTCATCAGAACAAGCTAGAAGAGATGATTAATGAGTTAGCAGTGGCCATGACGGCTGTAAAGCATGAACAGGAGTACATGGAAGTTCGTGAAAGAATACATAGAGCAAGTACGTGTCTTTGATTTAAATGCTTTCTCCACTCTCAAGTGAATTTATAGAATGTGGCTTAAAGCAAGTCCATGAAAGCTGTTCCAGGAAAAACACTTAGACCAAGTTCTGAAGGCCCTGCCCCTACAATCCTGAATGTAGCTGGTGTTGCAATCGTCTGTAAGTTGGCTCACCCCTCATGTAATGAAGATTGTTGTGCCTGCCTAATTGGTGCAGATTCTCCAGTTCTTTGAATGGCGTGTTCATGCAGACGTGGGCAATGCTGGTTCCCAGAGATAGACTTTGGTTGAACTACTGCTTCGTCCTTGAAGTAGGTGTGGCTTAATAAGTGAGCCAAAATCTGTGTGAACTATTTCATTGAGATAGAGCAGAGCTACTGTTCTGTCCAAGTAAGGTGTGGTGAACTCCAGTCACAACTCTCACATTCTGACATACAGCTGTAAAGTGGGACTGAGAGCGCCAAGTGGCGCCTTAGGGGAAGCCCAGGGAGAATAATGGCAAGTATTTGTAATGTGAACACACAACATTATCCTAAAGCATTGGCCCCTCAGCTTTTTGAGCCTACAGATATCTGTTTGGAAGTTACAAGCTTCTGTCTGACCTCTTTGAAGGTGGGCAGAATAGAGGTGCTGCCATCTATGTCCAAAGCTGAGGTTGATTAAAACATCTGCTTGCATAGTAAGCTCTTTGGAAAAACACCCTCAGCTCTCAGATCTCATCTCTTAAGTCTGCAGAGTCTTTCTAGGCCACTTGCAGTGATGTGATACAAATACCTGTGGTTTATGTGCAGTGTTCTGATGACAAAATGTGTTTTAAATTTGTTTTAAATGCTTTGTTACTTACTACTTCTTTTATTTCTTTTCTCCCCACAGTTAATGACAACACAAACAGCAGAGTGGTTCTTTGGTCATTCTTTGAAGCTCTTGTACTAGTTGCCATGACACTGGGACAAATCTACTATCTGAAGAGGTTTTTTGAAGTCCGAAGGGTTGTTTAAGAGTACTTTTCTGGTCCCGGATTTCAGTTCACTGTCTACCAAACATCCTGGTCACAAAAAGAGTCATTTACTTTCTGAACCCTCTTTACTGAACTGTAAAACTTGCTTTTGTTCCTCCCTAGTTAAAAAAGAATTGGTTTTATATATCTTCTGTAGCATAAGCTGTGCTGAAATCTTGTCACTTGATTGGCATAACTTTTTTTCACTTCAAATCTGCCTACTCTGTGTGCTAAGCAAGGTCCAAGCAAGCTGCAAATGCTGTAATCCACTGTAGTAACAAGCACCATTGATGTCTTTTCTAACTCTTTGCCCTGTTTTCATGAGTACTTGCAGTTCTACCTAAGGAAACGGTACAAGGCCCTAACATGACTGTTTTGCAAGTTTGACATCTCTAACCCTGCAATAGGTGTTAAAAATGGGAATAATCCCTTTTTTGCTTATGTAAACTGCCAAGAAGATTGGAAACTTTATTCTGATAATGAATAGAGGACGGATGACCACTTCAATCTAGTATTTGTGCCTAGTTGCTATTTAAAAGAGTCTTCAGTAACCACTCTTGATGTAATCATTACATCAGGTTATTCCCAAAGTTCTAAATTAACTAGTCAATATGAAAGGATATTTTATCCTCTCATGATCACATGTCCATCAGACGGTTTTGTTTTACTCTTTCACAGGTTTTATGTCAAAGCCAATTGTGTGCAGTGTCTTGGCAGACCATGGTTAACCCTTTGGTTTTTGCAGGCCCAAAGCTTAGATGGTTGGCGCCGATGGGGAACGCGTTCTTATTCAGGAAACCTGGATTCCTGGTGCAAAAGGGTTAATGATTCTGGGAGTCTATTGCGATGCTATGCAGCCCTTGTCTTTAAGTTAAGGCAGCCTCTGCCCTTCTCTCACCCTGATGCTATAACTACCGGCGTGTTTTCTTTTCCAGGCACGTGTAGATTTGGTTTTGTACAAAGTTTCTTTCCTCGTTATCTGATGATTGGTTTAAAACGTAAAGCAGCGTCTGAGGTGGGTGCTGAGCCAGGATTACGTTGTGACTGATGTATATTAGTTGTAATCATTTGGGGGGGGGCGGGCTGGGGTCTTTTCCAGGGGGGAGCCTCTACAAGTAACACACAGCAGTTTTGTACGATTAATTTAAGATTTGTTACAGGTTTTCATGTTCCAGGTAAAGCTTTTCCAACCTCGGGCAAACACTTGCAGCAGTTCCTCAGAGAAGGTGGCTCTGACACCTTAGCGCGACTGTTGTGTGCCAATATTTTTTGTGTAGAACACGTCAAATTGAATTCAAAGGTGTACATTTAAAAATGACTCGTGAAGGGAAATCTGACCCAGGTTCGAGAATAAACAAATTCTTTAAAAAAATAACTTTTTTTTTGTTTCTTTCTTATTTTATTTAAAGAAGTACCTTTTAACATAGAGCTTTTGTTAAGTATTTCTGAAGTTATCAGGAATTCATCCAAACTCCAGCCCGTGTTGTGGGCAAGTAGAAGAAATGGCAGCTGACTCTGAATCGACTGCTTTGCTGCTGGATTTCAAGCTGTTGTCACAGCCCTTCTGATCTCCGGTAGCAGTAATTCATAGCTTCCAAGATTGGTTTGGGATGAAGGGGTCTTAAAGCTCATCCAATTCCAAACACTGCTATGGGCACCTTCCACTAGAGCAGCTTGCTCCAAGCCCCTGTGTCCAACCTGGCCTTGAGCACTGCCAGGGATGGGGCAGCCACAGCTTCTCTGGGCACCCTGTGCCAGCGCCTCAGCACCCTCACAGGGAAGAGCTTCTGCCTAAGAGCTCATCTCAATCTCCCCTCTGGCAGGTTAAAGCCATTCCCCTTGGCCTGTCCCTACAGGCCCTTGTCCCAAGTCCCTCTCCAGGTTTCCTGCAGCCCCTTCAGGCACTGGAGCTGCTCTCAGGTCTCCCGTTCAGGAGCCTTCTCTTCTCCAGGCTGCCCCAGCCCAGCTCTCTCAGCCTGGCTCCAGACCGGAGCTGCTCCAGCCCTGGCAGCATCTCCATGGCCTCCTCAGGGCTCGCTCCAACAGCTCCACGTCCAACCGGGCTCTCCCCAGAGCGCAGCAGAGGGGGAGAATCCCCTCCGCCCCCTCCTGGCTCGGACGGGGCTCCCGCTGAGGTAAAACCCCCGGTCCCGGCCGCTTAAGGCGGCTGGCAGCGGAACCAAGGTGCTGCGGAGCGTGCTTCCGGGCGGCGCCGCCAGAGCCGGACCCGGACCCGGACCCGGACCCGGACCCCGGCGCTGAGAGGGAGCGGCCGCGCGGCGGACACGGCACCGGCGCCTGTCAAAGATGGAGGCGGTGACTGAGGGGAGCTGGGAGACGCTGCCGGTGGCGCTGAGCCCGGGCGTGCTGCGGGCGCTGCGGGAGCTCGGCTTCGCCCGCATGACCCCGGTGCAGGTGAGCGGCCGCTCCCCGCCGGGGAAGGGGGCACCGGGCGGCAGGGCCTGAGGGAGGGGGGCTCGGCCGCAGGTCGGAGCGCTCAGGCCTTCCCGCCCGTGGCTCCGCTGAGGTAATCCATAGCGCTGGGGCGCCCGGTGGGGGATTCGGCCTTGCGAGACCTACTGCCGCCGTCCGACTGCTCATGTGGTGCTTCTGCGTTCTCTTTGTTTCAGTCTGCGACCATTCCACTCTTCATGAGCAATAAGGATGTCGCTGCAGAAGCGGTGGGTGATTTTTTGCTGGTCTCTTCGCTGTTTGTTGTAGCTTGCATTGGGCTGAGGGAAGGCTGACGCTGCTTTCCCCCTCACAGGTCACGGGCAGTGGCAAAACGTTGGCGTTTGTAATCCCCATACTGGAAATTCTCCTCAGACGGGAAGAAAAGCTAAAGAAAATGCAGGTAAGATGAAGTTGCTCTGTCCTGGGTGTGTTTTAGTGGTGTGCCAGTGAGATTGGAGGTCTTCAGGGAAGACCTGTGGAAGATGGCACACACGTAAAGTGACGGTGTGTTCAGCTCCTGGGTATAACTAACAACGAACTGCTTAAAACTTGAGTATAAATATTGGGCTGCTTTCTGGGCACTTAGCTGCTTATTTGACATCATCAGAACATCAAAATGATTATCAAAACACTTTTCTGAGCTGTTAGAAAAATGGCTTAAAATACCGAGTACAAGGAGGTACTGCAAGCAAGTCTGAATGCTTTTGAGTGTCCATTAATTATACTGTATCGAGAACTTGCATTGTTGTTTGCTGTTAAATATCATTATTGGATTCTGCTCTTGATGCAAAGGCATTTTGGACACTGCTGTAATGCCTTTTTCGTGTATATTTTGTGTTATTCTGAATAGTTTAGTATATTTCTATGAAAATGATTTGTCTAAAACTAGGATCGTAATTATGGCTCATATTTACTTGAAAGGGAGAATTTTGCCCAAAACTTTCTTCTAGGCTGTTATTTTCCATACATTCCTGTTGGTTTTATGTGCAGGTTGGGGCTATAATTATCACACCAACACGAGAATTGGCTATTCAGATTGATGAGGTGCTGTCGCATTTCACAAAGCACTTCCCCAGGTTCAGGTGAGTGAACTTTAGGCTTGTCACAACCACTGTTCCTTTTCCTTTGGGCTTCTGTCATTCATAAGCCAGTAAAAAATGACCAGAGTCTTTCTGTTTTCTGGTTTTAGTCAGATCCTTTTAATTGGCGGTAGGAATCCCATGGAAGATGTTGAAAAGTTTAAAGAACACGGGTGAGTTACTTATCAGTTGTTTTTGTCATTGCCTTGCAGATGTGGCTTTCTCCTTGTCTGTAGGGTTTTCAGTTAGGGTTTTGGTCCTGCTGGTGCTGAAATTTGAAGGTACTGCTAAGTATGCTGAGGAAATGATGGATTCTTTCCCTTGAGGGAAGTGTGCTATCCTGAGACAATAGGAAAGGATCGTATGTGAAATCAGGACCATGTATGTGCTGTTTGGGTGAAGGACAGAATGCAGTGTGGTGAGCTGAAAACTGTCTTCACTAAATATTTCAGTTCCTTCTTTCCTGTCAGTGTCATACTAGCAGTAGGCTCCAGTGAGGTGGGAGTCTCTGCTGGTGAATGTTTCTGAAGCTGGTGCTGATACTGAGGATGTTTTGAAGCAATTGTATTTTCTATGATGAAGCTTTTTGCACAGAGGAATCAAAGATTTCTCCTAGCTGGCAGTTCCTTTCCATCGTTACTGATTATATTCTAAACTTCTGTTACCACAAATGGTCTGCTTTCACTTGAGCATTGTTTCCTCTCAACTTACTGCCTGAAAGGCACTGACATCTGAATACAGTTAGAAGTGACAAATGAAATTGTTTTGTTGAAGAATGCAGTCAACTTTTGCACAGGTTTGTGCTGTGATAATGATGTTGGCAGCTCCCCAAAGTCCTCGCCTTGCACAGTTACAAAACTGCTGTGTGTCTTATTCACCAACAGTGGGAACATCATTGTAGCTACCCCGGGCCGCCTGGAGGATCTGTTCAGAAGAAAAGCTGATGGGCTGGATCTAGCAAGTTGTGTGAAGTCTCTGGATGTGTTGGTATTAGATGAAGCAGACAGACTTTTGGATATGGGCTTTGAAGCAAGGTATTGAAAGCATACATTCCAGTAACACTTTGGAAGTTTTAGATGAGTTCATATATGATTCATGTGAGCGTGGCCTGTGATGACCTCTAAAGTTAGATTTGTTCAGTTTTATTCTTTTATCTCTCTTTGCTCCATAGACTACAGAAAGCAATTGCTGGGGGTGAAGAGAATCAGAAGGAGCAGATCTTTGATGAATACAGAGTTTAAAAATTCTTGTTTTCTGATGTATGTTAGCTTGATTATTTACACATCAGAATGCCTTAAAACACTTTAACAAATAAGCTTTGATGTCCCTTTTATCCTTCTCTCAAAGTTAGTTAGTTCAATAGAAGATTGGCACTTGATAATGAAATCTTACTTTGTTTGTAAACTCTTACTTCCAATGGTTAAACTTCTTTTTTTGAGGGAAATCTGGGGACAATTATGTTCTACATGTGCTTATTTGCAGTTTAAATGCCATTCTGGACTTTATGCCCAAGCAGAGACGGACAGGTCTGTTCTCAGCAACTCAGACTCAAGAGGTGGAGAACCTGGTGAGGGCAGGTCTCCGGAATCCTGTCCGCATCTCGGTGAAGGAGAAGGGAGTGGCAGCAAGCAACACACAGAAAACTCCAACACGCCTGGAGAACTACTACATGGTGCGAAGCCCCGCTTTGTGATGGTTTCTTGGTCCCTCTCCTTTTCTCCTGGCTCTATCCATAAGTCTTGCCCAGATAGGATCACATTAGTAGAGGAATTGGAAGTCTCCAAGATACAAAGCTTTTATAGGTTCTTCAAAGATCAATCACCAAGCCAAGGAGAAGGATCTAAATTAGCAACTGTGTTGTTTTCTGCTCTGTGAGTTTTGTTTGGCTGTTGTAACTCCAAACTGGCTGCAGCGCTGTAGTTCCTTGACCTGCTCCTAAGGAATGGGGAGAGATTTTGGCAATTGCTGAGGGATATTTGAGATACTGCTGCGGAAGGGGTGTTGTGGCTGGGGATGGGAAGACTGGGAGCTAAGTATTTGTTTATATTTAAAACAAGATATGTAAGAGTAATATTCTGCAGGAGGAACTATAGGAGAGATGATCAGTGTTAAGAAATTACACCTGTAGTCATCTATCAGTGCACAGTGAATGGAGGAAATGGGCAGATTGCTTTGTATCGAGCCCATTTATTTACCTCTTTTTTCTTTTGAACTGTGCAGATCTGCAAAGCAGATGAAAAATTTAATCAGTTGGTGCATTTTCTGCGGCAGCACAAACAGGAGAAACATCTGGTCTTTTTCAGGTAATTCTGGGTTTCATCGTGAGAATCCTTCTAGTACTTAAATTCCAGAGCTGTGCCTTGTGTTTGCAAGGACACAACTGTTTTAGAAGTGGTTAATTTTAATGGCTGTCTTGTACAGTATGGTGCCTAAAAAGAGTTTGATCATTGCTTCATGTCAGGATTTGGTTGAATTTTATTAAGCAAAACACGAATTTGAGATGCATTTTTAAAGGAAAGCATTAGAGATGATTATATGTTAATTATAAAAGCAATACACATATATTGTAAATAAAAATAAGCCATAGTATATATTCTAGGAAGGTCTCTGAGCCTTGGAAATGCATCATATTCTCTCACCTTTATGTGTGTCTGTATCAACACAGCACGTGTGCCTGTGTGGAATACTATGGGAAGGCTTTGGAATCCTTAATTAAACAAGTGAAAATAATGAGCATTCACGGGAAGATGAAACACAAACGGAACAAGATTTTTACTGAGTTCCGGAAGCTCCCGGGGTAAGGAAATGAGTAAGAAGCGTAATTCCCAGTAGCAGCAGAACTGCTTCAAGTAACATGTGGAAACTGTCAGTCTCTGAATTCTTTTATTAAAGAGATGACTTTCAGCTGTGGTGGACACAGTGGTGATTCAATAATAGGACTTGTAACAGGGCATTGATTTTTCCTGGTGATGTAAATCCCATTCCTTTTCACAACGTAGTGTAGACTTTTAGTTGGTGAAAGCTGCAGATACCTTAGGTATTTTGTCTCCTTTCAAAACCCACGTTTTGTTGCTCATTCTCCAGTGTAGATGCAGAACACACAGCTGGGGGTGGGCTGGCTCTTTTCAAATGACAGTTTAATGAAACCATGCTCTTTCTTCTTCCTAGCGGCATTTTAATTTGCACTGACGTGATGGCCCGTGGCATAGACATTCCAGAAGTACACTGGGTTTTACAGTATGACCCACCTAGCAGTGCAAGGTACAACTTCAGGTCTTAAGAACCTTCACTCAGCTTGTGGTCATGTTACTGTCTTGTTTGGATATAAATTGGGTACATGCAACAAAAGGCTCTTTTCCATGTATTTTAACTTCCATTGTTGTAATTCTCCCTACAACATGCTTACAGCTTGACACTAATGCAGATCCCCCTTGCTTTAGCCCTAACAATCCAGTGGGACTGCTACATGTCTCTCTTACCATTTTTTACTTAGTCCTCTTGGTTTAAGGCAAATATATACAGCACTCTGTATTTTAATTCCACAAGATTTGCCCTTTTGCTGCCTATCACTTCCAAACCAGGCTGAGGTCCTCCTGCAAAGTCTTCTCTGTGTTGTTTCAGTGCCTTCGTGCATCGGTGTGGTAGAACAGCACGGATCGGCAACGTCGGCAGCGCGCTTGTGTTTTTGCTTCCCATGGAAGAGTCTTACGTTAACTTTCTCTCAATCAACCAAAAGGTTAGTAGACTTATTCTAATCCAAGGCAGGAAAGAGCAAGGGGACAGAGTCACTGATGGGAGTTTAGGTTCAGAATTGTAGAACTTAGGGGGATATGCATAGGTAACGCACAATTAAGAAAAGACAAGAGCGGCTTTTCTGACGTATTTTAGCATATGCTCTATTCTTGATTATCATTATTTACACATGAGAATGGCTTAAAACACTTTAACAAATAAGCTTTGATGTCCCTTTTGTCTGTCTCAAATTAGTTCAATAGAAGATTGGCAAATACCTGTTAGAACAGGACTGCTCACAGTGTTACTGTAGGATAGATAGGAAAGGCTTTTTGTTTCAAAGGGTGTGTAGATTGAGCACTTCCAGGACAGCACTGGTTAAACACTCCTGCCCTCAGCAGTGTATACACTGCACCCTCCACACTGTTTAACTCTGATAACTTCATGTTTTTGTGGGATTAATTGTAAACCTTCTCTGGAGCCTGCTAATGAGAACAGAGCTTGATAAGGGTGAGATGAGCTTGTGGCCTGTCTCCAGCTGTGGTGTGTGAACTGCTCTGCTGGGATAAGACAAGGGTGTGTGGGGCTGAATGCTGAACTCATGTCGAAGTGATCACATAGAAGGGGACTCAGAGCTGACTGAAGATCAGCAGGGGAAGAAGCGTGTGTTCAAAGCTTCACAGCGCATTTTAAAACATTCCACTGAACTCTTCCTTTGGATTTGTGTTTCTTGTCTGGTTTTCAGTGTCCCATGAAGGAAATGAAACCACAGACAAACGTGTTAGATCTTCTCCCCAAACTGAAGTCAATGGCTCTCGCTGACAGGGCAGTGTTTGAGAAGGGGATGAAAGCGTTTGTGTCGTACGTTCAGGCTTATGCCAAACACGAATGTAATCTCATCTTCCGAATAAAAGGTAATTCCCAGCAGGGGCTGGCATCTGCTCCTGCTCTTTTCAGAACAGTATTTGGTTTGGGAAAGAACAAAGTGTTACTGTCCACAAGCCTCACCTCCTGGTTCCTGGTGTCAGATTTACTTCCTGCAGCATCAGATTCTGACGAAACTCCCATTTTCCCAAGCAACTTGTTTCTCATGTTTTAAAGAGACATAATTTATGGCATAAGCAAAAATAAAAGTGATTCAGTATTGTTACTACTATCAAGTCTAGAATGCAAACAATACAATAAGATAATGTTTGGGGTTTTCTAATTGTGACTTCCTAAGTTAAACTATCTTTTTATCCAGTGGGAAACTGACTTTATAATCCTTACTTTCATAGATCTGGATTTCGCAAGTCTTGCCAAAGGTTTTGCATTGTTAAAAATGCCAAAGATGCCTGAACTAAGAGGAAAATGTTTTCCAGACTTTACTCCAGTCACTGTTAATACAGACTCCATTTCATTTAAGGATAAAAATAGAGAAAAACAGAGACAAAAGCAATTAGAACAACAAAGAAAAGACAGAGAGGAAAATGGAGGGAAAAAGAAATTCATAAAGAACAAAGCCTGGTCAAAGCAGAAAGCCAAGAGGGAGAAGAAAAAGAAAGTAACAGCTAAAAGGAAGCATGAAGAGGTAAATTGTGTCCATTCTATTGAACTGCCTGTGATCACTGCAGCATAGGGACATACTTCCAATTGCAGAGCATCTGGGGATCTTAGTTTGATATAGCTGAAGAATGTAAAGTAACTTTTTAGGACCATTACAGACAAACCTTATAAAAAATAGGGTAGCTTCTTAAAGCCAAACACTAAAACAACTTCTCAGCACTCTGATGCTGATCAGTAATGCTGCCTGCAGAGGTAGCATAGCTTTTTCTTTCTGTAAGGTCCAGCAGTATGGCACAATAGTGGACAGTACTTCGTTTGGGGGTTTAATTTGCTTTTTTTTCAATTCTCAACAAGAATAACTGAGAGTTAGGTGGTTTCCTAGGTATAAATCAAGTATTATTACTTGGATAGTTCTGGCATATCAGAGTTGTAAACTTCTCTTGTGTTTAGCTGTATGGAGTGAAAACCTTTTGGGGTGTGTTTAATTAGTGTTGTGCTTAATTTGTTGGTTTTCACCTGCCAACAGGGTTCTGATATTGAAGATGAGGATATGGAGGAGTTGCTGAATGACACAAGACTCTTGAAAAGATTAAAAAAGGGGAAAATCAGTGAAGAAGAATTTGAGAAGAGACTAACAAGCAGCAAGAGTAGGCTGAAAGCAGGAGCTGTTGCTGACTTAGAGTCTGAAGGTTGACAGTTACTCTGACCACACTTTTACATTAGAATACTGCCTATTTCAATAAAACTGGATTTTTATAACAAAACACTGATGCAGAGAACAAAATTGATCTAATTTCTTCATAAGAGACCTGGAGCCCACAAGGACAAACAGAGAAGCCTGCAGCTAAGAGAACTTCTCTCACATGGTGTGGCCAAAGCTACAGGTTGCCATTAGCAGCCTCGTGCCCGTTTTCGCTTTGCTTTTTTCAGGTATGTACCCCAGAGCAGTAAGTAGCAGCACACCTCACAATGAGGCTGAATCCACCTTAAGGTGTTTTATTTTACAATATCAAAATACTCCACCCATCTTTAAAATAATTTATTTTAGATCTTTAGAAGCTGTAGGAACTTTCTAACAGTGGTCCATCCATATATAACATGTTGCTTTAAAAACTCACGAAGGCCAGTAATTACATTAATCGTTATGATGTCCTCTCCTTACCATGTCCATTTAACTTGTATCATCCTCCCAGTTCTTACAACTGTGACAGTCACTGAAGATGATGCATCCTCTACACAGAGTCCTCTTTGTTACAGATAGAGTTTAATAAGTTCATCACTGACAGCTGAGGGAGTTAACACACCGAGGTCTGTAAACAGTAATGTAATGAGTGATGGTGATGTGTAGTCAATCCAGGGATGCTCCTCTGTTAGGTTCTGATTTGTTTTCAGAGTGTCTGCTTTGTACTAGAAGGAAATGGAGACAACTGGAAATTAAAACCTCTCTAGGGCAAGAGTGGTGCTGCAGTCCCAAGCAGATGTTTGTGGTAAAACTGAAGGAAGTCAGCTGCTTTAAAATGAGGCACAGGCTGGTGCCACCTTGGTCTCAGCTGTTTTATCTTATGTATAAAGAACAATTGGTAGTTCTGAAGTGTGTTAACTGTTTTTTAGCCCCTTGGCTAAGAAGTAATTTGGATTTCTCTTACCTTAAACTTATCTGGGACATCCTGCTGATTCAGAGGGAAAAGCCTCACAAACTTGAAACTTTCAGCTACCACATAAAATGGCTTATTCTGTGCTTTGGCACACACAGCAATTTGATTAGTGCCAATCTGTGGAGACAGAGGGAAAATGACACTGCAGGCTCAGTGCTAGTGTGACACAATACTGCCCAGTTTCCAACCATAAATAGATGGTCACTGGAAAATGTCCAAACAGAAGAGTTTTTTTCAGAAAGCCCCGAATTCTTCAAAGAAATCAAACTTTAAAAGTCTGGAGTTTACAGAACAATGTAATAAACCCACAACCTCCTACCTTGTTGATAATGCCACCACTTTCAACTACTCCTTCAGCACCAACTAACACCAGGTCCACTTTCTCCATAATGTAGCTGTTCAAAGGGAGGAAAGAAATCCAATACTTACTGGGTAATATGACAAGTACCTCATTTAATTGAGCATCAGATTTATTATAGTTTTTTCTTATGTTTTGGACTGATACTGAGCAGTGGTTGTTTAGCAAATAGCTTAAGAAGCCCTCGAATGTTAACATGTGTAAATGAGGGAAAAATTAGCACCTCGGTTCTTTTTTTACAAGTGTCCACAAGTTCTGCACTCAGGTCTGAGTCCTTTTGTCACTCTTAACATGCAAACATCAGATACTTGTTTTGTAGCAGTTCTCCTAATGATGCACCTAAAGGTGTAACTTGTTCAACTTGTTTGATGACTGTGACAAACCAAGTCATCACTTCTGTGATTTGGACAAGCTTCTACGAAACCTACATCTAACACTCCCAAAATTATGCTGAAAAATACTAAGATTTAATGATCACTTTACCCAACTGCAGCATCCAGAATCACAGTCACAGGAATGTTCAGCTTCCTCAGGGCTTTTGCCATTTTTTGCCTATGAAAAAAACATGTTTGAAGCTTAGAAGCCTTTTCTTTAAAGACAAGGCTAGAAAAATATTGTCTGAAGGCCTGAAACCCTTGACTGCCTATGTTCTCTTGCTGGTAGTTTTGGTTTATGATGTATCCTCTAATAGAAAATCAGTTATTGTGTAGAAATTGAAACAAACAGATTAGAACGAACCCACTAAAAGCAAAGAAAGTTTGTTTTACCAGTCAGGAATTACAGCTCGAGAAAGATGAGTCAGTGAGCTATTATTAAAATGACAGAGTACCTGAGCTGCCTCAGCTTGTCCATCAACAGGGTATTTAAGAAACAAGACGTAAAGCATGGGCTGCAGTGCTCGGAGCTGTTTCAGTGAAGCTGGAGAGTCATATGTACTTTGACTGAACATCCTCGTTAGCCACATGCATTACCCAGCATGCAGGATTTACTACTTCACTCACACAACCATGTGTGCTTTGAAGAGGGAAGGCCTGCTCTCTTGCTATCAGTAACATACTTTATTTAGGATCTTCAAATGACATTGCTAGCTGAATGTTTTACTTTGCTATGATAATACTGATAATTTTAGCCTACTTTTGAAGCAGCCCACTAGAAATCAGTTGTCTCCCATCTCCCAAGGAGGTTGCCTGGTATTAACTGAAAGTTTGTAAAGCTCTGAGGAAAACCTAGATAATGTTTTAATTGGAACATTTAGTATGGCAAATCATTTGCCAATATTGGGGTTGTTTTCACTTGTCCAGAACAGTGTGATACTGGTGATGGTTACCATTCAAAATGCTGCAAGCAGGCCTAGCAGCTTAAGGTCTAGCAGACTTGATGGTAGCTGTTAACCAAGATAAAACCCAAAAGATTGAGTACTCACCCTGCTTGATCTGGTTGTGATTCAGTGACATAAACGCTGAATCGCTTCTTTGCCTCAACAGCTGCTTCTAACACTCTGAGGACCACTCTGGAGTAGGCATGTGTCAATATTCGCTGTCAGAAAACAAAAAGACATCACTTTCTGTTGAGCTTTGAGAAGCCCTTTACTTGTGCTAATGGTGACATGGCTTTTACTTCACACAGGTGTCCATCAATGTTAAATAATAATGCCTGTCACGTGTATTCCACAAATCATAGGATAGAAAACTACCCTATGAGCTGGACTGTATGCGGCCAGCCCTGATGGGGTGATGATTTAGTATTTTAAATTGAAACGTGAAGCTGTGACTCCTCAGCACCTCTTAGAGGTGGAATGCGAGATAGACCTGGATTGCATGGAACGTGAAGGGGCAGGGGAAAGATCACAGACTCACAGCAGGGTTTAGGTTGGAAGGGACCTTAAAGCTCATCCATTTCCAACCACCTGTCACAAGCAGGGACACCTTTCACTAAACCAGGTTGCTCCAAGCACTGTCCAACCTGGCCTCGAACACTGCTAGGCGTGCTATCACACCTATGTACCTGCAGAAGCCACCCCTAGACAATGCTGCTGTCAACATTAATAGCCTTCACTCCTCTCCCTTTTGTTTTCCATTGCTGCAAGAAGAACACCAAAACGAGTGACCCTGGCTCTGCCTACTCACAGCACCATCTCTGATGAAAGGATGACACAGCTTGGCGATTTTATTCCGAGAGAGAGACACTTTCCTCAGGAAGATCTCCCCGCGCTCGATCATGATTTCCTTGCACTTGGAGTAGTCCTGGAAAATACAATGCTTGCTGCTGCGGGGCTGTGGTCCCCCCTGCAGGCAGCACGGCGGGGCAGGCTGCAGCCGCCCTTACCGAATACTCCAGGGAGGTGAGGCTGATGAAGCGCAGGAAGAGCTCCCCGCCGGAGGACACGGCGACCGAGGAGTCCACCCGGGACAAGGTGTCGATGGCAGCCAGGAGGCTGCTCCTCAGGCCCTGGATGGTCTCCCCTGCGGACAAGCAGCGATGCCCGGTAAGAACCCCACCGACACGGGCCTCGCTGCGGGGAGACTCGGGGCAGAGCCGGCACCCCGCAGCTAGGGTGGGGGGAGCCGGACCCACCTCGGTCCTGCTTGAGGAAGCCCAGCAGGGCGCGGATAGCAGCCACGGCCGAGGCGACATCGGGGTCGTCCCTCAGCTGCGCCCGGAAGGTCTCGATCAAGTCTGTAGGGAGCGGGGCGCGTCAGTGACCTCCCCGCCTTGCCCCGCCCCGCCCGCGCCCCGCTCCCGTTACCGTTCGTGCTCATGGTCGGTCCCCTCCGTTCCCCTACCCGCCTGGGCGTGGCTCCGCCCGAGTGACGGCGCACGTTTGGCTGACGTAACGCCGTGCCGCGGCGTCATCCCCCTGCGCCGCGAGCAGCTGGTCCTGCGGCCGGCGCGATGAGCGCGGGTGAGGCTCCGGTGTCCGGGCTCCTCCGGGGGAGGCGGAGCGCGGGGTCCGCGGTGTTGTGACCCGTGCGCTGGGGCAGCCCCCTCTGCGCGGGGGCCTTCGGTTGCGGCCGTGCTCGGCGTTCGCGCGGAGCCTGGGGTGACGCTGCGGTGTTGTCTGTTTCAGACGATGACCTGAGCCTGCTGGTGGTAATCATTGACACCAACCCCATCTGGTGGGGGAAGAAGGCGCTAGGAGAAGCTGAGGTACGTGCTGCTGGGGGCCGTTTATTTGTTTAATGTTAGTAAATAGGTAACAGATAAGCCTTTGATCTCTAAACTCTGTTGACGTTTGTCTGCTAGAACAATTTATGGGTATTAGAATGTTCTTTAAAGCAGCTACCCAGCATTGTGTAGTCAAAGCTTTTTTCTAAATTCTATTAGGAAACTTTCAGCATCTTCAAGTTGAGTTTTTTTAACTGCAGTGATTTGAGAGATTTCTTCTAAATTACCTCACTGTAAATGTTAACTGCCCTGTATCTGTTTTCTTCTTCCTTTTTTTCATCAGTTCACCCTATCAAAATGCATCGACGCAGTGATGGTGCTGGGAAACTCGCACTTACTTATGAACCGCAACAACAGACTTGCTGTGATAGCAAGTCACACACAAGAAAGGTAGAGTTGCTTCTTAACAGGGTGAAGATTTAGAGTACACTTGTCTGTATCTATCTCCTGATTTTTTTTTTTTGAAGTACATAATTGCCATCAGGTTTAAAATGCATAATATATCATTGTCTTAAAGATCTACCCCTAAGTGCAGACATGGCCATTAGATTGGATATAAGGAGGAAATTTTTTCCTGTTAGGGTGGTGAGGCACTGGAATGGGTTGCCCAGGGAGGTTGTGAATGCTCCATCCCTGGCGGTGTTCAAGGCCAGGTGGGACGAAGTCTTGGGTGAGATGGTTTATTGTGAGATGTCCCTGCCCATGGTAGGGGGGTTGGAACTGTATGATCTTAAGGTCCTTTCCAACCCTAATTATTCTATGATTTATCTCTCTTAAGAGGGGCCTTGAAAGGAGGGAGGTGAATGTGGGTTTTACTCCATTTTCAGTTTGAGGATTACCTGCTTTATATAGTCTCTTTAGTGTCTAAAGTGTTAAGATTATTTGCTATTATACTGTGGAGTATTGCTTTCTACATCTGAGTAGTTTATGGGTATTTTTCTTACAAGGTTAAACCATATATACTTTGACTTTCTTCTATTTCAGCCGTTTCTTGTACCCTGGGAAGGGTTGGGTTGCTGCAGAGCTCTTTGGAGATGGTGGTAGTTCCATGGAATCTAATTGCCCTGGCAGCAAGGATGGAAAGTATGAGTTGTTAACAGCAATCAATGATGCAATTGCAGAAGAGATTAAAGACCTCATGACAAAAAGTAAGGAAAAGAAAATTCTAGGATTAATATGCAGAATTGCAAAACATTTGGGCTCCCAAGGAGTGTAGGAATTTCCTTTATTTTTATCATGTGAATTTTAATACGTTTCAAGCAGATGAGTTTATAATGTGTGACACTTCAGGCCTCTGCATTGATGCTATTTGCCAAAGATAAAACTTGTAGTATTTGCTATGGTCGGATTCAGCAACTGTTTTTATATCTAAAAGTAACTTCTGCAACTTTCCTTGTATTGCAGGTGACATGAGGGGCCAGCAAACAGAAACCCTGTTAGTAGGATCACTCTCTAAAGCCCTTTGTTGTATCCTTTCAGTCACAGAATCTTCAAAGCTTTTCTGTGTTTTCAAGACTGTTTCTTACAATATTAGTTAAGTTTTACTATTCCTGTCCTGTAATAATACTCAAAACTGAAATGTTTACCTAACAGCTGTGGGTCAGGCTTTTTAAAATGCGCGTTGGTTAAGGTGGGGAACACGTGGCATGGATACTGGGGTTATTTTCAAGAATTGAATGCAGATTCCTTAAAGTCAGCTAATCAGATATCAACAAGATGAGCAAAGATGTGAAAGGTAAAGCCTCTTCTCCTGTTTTGAATACTTCCATAAATATTTGAATCACACATAAGTACATACAAACAAATATACATATGGTTTGACATGTCCCCATTTCCAAAATTGACAAGATTAGGTGCATGTTTATCCTGATCATTCCACAGGGACCACCTCCTTCCCTGATCAACATCTCGGTGCTTTAGGACAATAAGTGAAATGGGTCTGCTTTCATGACAAGCCTGAATTAGTCCACAGATGCTTGTCACTGGGACTGTAAACCAGTTTCTTATAGGTATTTTAATTGAGATGTTAGATCTAACATCTTGGATGTTAGATATGTAACTGGGATGTTAGATGCTCCAGAATTAAAAGGGCAAACTGCAGGCAATAGAAACAATGTGCTCATGCATTTCTTTTTTAATATTTAGGCAATCAAGAAATGAAATCAAGGATTTTGGTAAGGACTTTTGCTGACAGTTTTATTTCAGTCTTGAAATCCAGTGATACTATGTAGGTCAACAAGTTTGAATTGTTTTAAGGCCAACAAGTTTGAATTGTTTTATTTAGGTCATAAAAGCAGCGGAAGACAGTGCATTGCAATATATGAACTTCATGAATGTTATCTTTGCAGCACAGAAACAGGTGAAGCTGGCTTCTTTCTCCTATGTATTATTAATATCCACAGATAAAAAAAATTGTTCATTTCTTTTATGCATTGCATCTCTTTTCTTGCAGAGTGTTTTGATTGATGCTTGTGTGTTGGACTCTGATTCAGGTCTCCTACAACAGGTACAGACTCCACTCCCTATTCTCATTTGCTGTTTGTATTGATTCACAGATACTTGCTGCTAGATAGTTTGAGATGTTCCTAAGCTCTCCTCTTTCATTTGTTTCAAGAGTGGGTGTGGAAATACGCTCGGTGGATCTGACAGTCCTAACATGCAGGCCTTGTGCAGCGTGTGGGTATTCTAAATATCCTGGTAATTATAAACCAAAACAAGCTGATCATTCTCTGCTTTCCAGGCTTGTGATATTACAGGTGGCATATATCTGAAAGTGCTCCACATGCCATCCCTTCTGCAGTATTTGTTGGTAAGTCATTTAGAAAACACTTAAGTGCTTTTTCCCGTGTCAGATGTGAATCTTACTGGCTTCACTGACAAGGAAATACAGCAGCACCATTCTCTTTTCATGCAGTGGGTGTTTCTCCCTGATCAAGAGCAAAGATCACAGCTTGTCCTTCCACCTCCCATTCATGTTGACTACAGAGCTGCATGCTTCTGTCACCGAAATCTCATTGAAATCGGTTACGTGTGCTCCGTGTGCTTGTCAAGTAAGCTTATAAATATTGAAGGGTCTGATTCCTTACTTTCAAGTGAACTGTTCTACTGAAAGCCCGTTCTTTTCTTTTCCAGTATTCTGCAACTTCAGTCCTATTTGTAGCACATGCGAGTAAGTGTTTCTTCTCCTTTTCCCAAGGGTGGGTGTGGAAATATGTTCTGTGGATCTGACAGCTCCTTCTTCTACTGCTTTTTTCAGGACTGCTTTCAAAATATCATTGCCGCCTGTCATGAAAGCTAAGAAGAAGAAATTAAAGGTAGCTGCGTAACTACATTATGCAAATGCATCATTACCTCCTCCAGGAATTACATAAGATGGAACATACTTGAGGAATTGGTGGTATTGGATCTGAGAGAACTGTATGCAGTGTTATCCTTGTTTCTTAAGGGATGAATAGCCAAATCGTGTGTGTTCTACACAGCCCTCTAAGTAACAAATCACTGTATTGCCACGTAACATGTGCTGGTTTAAATGCGAGAGGAGCCAGGAGTTACAGCCTGCCAAGACCTACCCTGGGAAGGAGAAGGTATCCTGGCCACTGCCAACGTTTCCCTCCTCCTATAGTCAAAGACAAGAAAACTGATTCTTTTTGTGCACTGGTTAAAGGTAAAAATGACCATTTCTAGTGCGTAGATCAGACCCTGAGCACTGTCCTGTTGAGGGACTTGAATCTCTTGCTAGGTTTTGCTAGCAATGTTTGTCCTGCCCTACCTGTGCACTCGCATGTGTTCATATTCCTTTGGCTGTACTGTCTCTGTGGTATTAACTTTCTTAATTCGATATCTCTTGTGAATAAAAAGGCTTCCGTTTGTTTAAAGTAACTTCAGGCTGGCTGGGTGGTCTTTAAGGTTGTGTTCTGAAACTGGAAAAGGTAATTCTGTGCAATGTGGCAGTTCTTAGTATGTGGTTCTGCAGCTGGCGTTTGACAAGCAAGAATGAAAGCTTTTGCTTTGGTGGTTTTGGGGCAGAAGACGAGGGCGTGCTGTGTGCTTCTGAACATCGCTTGGATTTAACCATTCTCCCCCTTGTAAAAAGCAACGGTACGGTTTGGTGTTTGAACCTGTTGCTTGTAACTGATGTTCTCCTGCAAGGAATACTGTCCCTGCTATTCCTGTATAAAGGAATACTGTAACTGTTCCCTACATTGAAAACCACGGATACTCTTTTCTTCCCCAAGGTGTATAGAGGAATTTATGTCATGTCTTGATACTTGCATCGCCGTTTATCAGTGTAACGGCTGCAATGCCGGACTTTTCCTGGCTTGTTTTGGTTGACGGCTACATTATAGTTCACTTTGTCTAAGAAGTTTGTAATAAAACCTTTTTCAGTGGGGGTAGATATTGCTGTGATACCAGCTGGTTTTAACTAAGATCTGGCACTGGCTGAAGCGCCTGAGGGAGGATGTGTCCGTGTGGAGCTGGGGGGGAAGACGAGGCGCAGCCGTGCCTGGGCTCTCTCCGCTGGTCCCTACCGTGAGGGGGGGTCCATGGCCCAGCCCGCCCCGCGGTTCCGCCGGCGGCCCCGTCCCGCCTTCCCGTGAGGCGGCCGCGCTTCCCGCCCCTTCCCGTTGCCATGGAGCCGCGCGG